AGACCGATCGTTTCGTGTCTTTACACATCAGTGTATCGTCACGAGCCGCAGGGTTTAATTTGGATTTGTCTGTGCATATTTTTTTTACTCTCATAGATTTTGTTACCATTGCCATGCATTATACGACTGATAGACTGCAACGGTTAAAGTTAAAAATCATCATATGTGTTCTACTGAAGAAACAAAGTCACCTACATCTCGGATGCCCTGGGGGTAAGCAGATAAACATCAAATTTTCATTTTTGGGTGAACTATCCCTTTAAGGTTGAACCACTGATGTCACATGGACTATTTTAATGATGTCCTTGCTACCTTTCTGGGTCTTGAATGTGGTACAGTACAGTTGCGTTGCTGTCTATGCAGGGCCAGAAAGCTCTCGGATTTCATCCAAAATACTAATTTGTGTTTCGAAGATTTAAAAAAAGATCTTATGGGTTTGGAACGACATTAGGGTGTGTAATTAATTACAGAATTTTGATTTTTGTGTGAACTATCCCTTTAAGAGTACAATTTAAGACTCAATGTCAGAGCCTAGCAGTTACCATATACACTACCATTCAAATGTTTACCATCAGTAAGACTTTTTCAGGTATTTTTTAAAGAAATTAATACTTCTATTTAGCAAGGCCAGGTTAAATTGTGACAGTAAACACATTTATAATGTTACAAAGTACTGGAGTACTGGAGTACTTGGCTGCTGAAAATTCAGCTTTGCCATCACAGGAATAAATTACTCTTTAAAATACATTACAATAGAAAACAGTTATTTTGAATTTTAGTAATATTTAAGTTTTTCCTGCATTTGATCAAATAAACTCAGCCTTAGCATTAGAGACTGCTTTCGAATACTAAATTCCAACACTTTCAGCTGTGGTGTTCGAAACAAAGAATAGTAGCCCTAATGGGTAGTGCTCCGGTCCAGTAAAATGCCATTAAGTCTCAGATACAGTGTTTAGCCTCCATTACACAATGTGTTTTCACTTCCCCAGGCCTGATCCCACACACCACTTCCTCTGCCACAGATGTCTGCTTTGCTCGGCAGCACAACATCTCTGACAACAACAACCAGTGTTTCTCCAGCGCCAATGGCCATTTGCCCAACAGCATGGCTGTGCAGAGACCTGGTGCCATAGACAACCAGCCTCTGGTGACCACCGACCCCATGAAGGTGAGTGTACATGTGCCCAGAACACCCACCAAAACCAGGAAGCCACTGATAATCCTCTTGTTCATCAAAATGACTGCTAAAGTGCATTCAATAGACCTGCATGGAAAATAACACTTTCAAGCTGTTTTTCTTCTATTCTAATTTTAGCTTTAGAGAGCTCAAAATGACATTAAAGTGCCATTTTTGAAATTGAAATCACCTAGAACAAATGAATCCTGTGATGAATGGTCTGTAACATTTGTGTTCTAGAAAATGAATGCTTTTATGTGAAGCTAAAAGCATTTTTAAATAAAACTACTTGCTTTTGTAATGCCTTGTCACAAGCACATTTGCAGTCTTGTATTATCAGGCTTTCTTTACTCAACACAATGCATAGCAGTATTTAAGTCAAAATGAGACCTTTTCACTCCTATCCGCCTCTTCATCCATCCTCCCACTCTCAGAGTCATCGGAGAAGAGCAGGGTGAAGGACGCTTACATCGCCTGTGATTTATTCACTGGAGGTCAACTAGTCGCTACAAGTTGCCATTGCAAATTGCTGTCAATATGAAGTATGTGACTCTGTTTTGTCCAGGCGCCCACACTGACCATGGAGGGAGGCCGGCTGAAGAAATCCCAACAGCTGGTAAATGGTCGGGACTTTGAGACGGTGCCAGAGCCGGTATGGAGGGCACTTTACCACTGGTATGGGGCCAACCTCAGCCTGCCCCGACCGGTATGTATGCCATCTCCCATCAGAGGTGACACCCTGGGCATTTAATTTGTGCTTCAGTGAATGTCATTTGCCTTGACTTTTTTTGCTTTGATACACAATATTCCTTATGACATGACATGAAGTGTCACATGAACGCTGTCAGATATTACTAAACCTGTTTCCTGAATATAGAAGGAATTCTATTCTGACTTATCCCTCTATTGGACAGTGTTGCCTCTCATTATCAGACTCATTTTCTTCATTTTGTAAGCACATGATTCATATTATATAGCCTTAAATGGCTAATGATGGGATGTCAAATAAACAGTAAATAGGGTTACATTCTGGAGGTGATTTAAAATCTTTTGCTGACATGACACATCATGTGAAGGATAAACTGAGAAATAATTTTTAATTATTGATTCTTCCCCCATAAAATGTATGAGTCATATTTCTTATTGAGTAACCTTCATTATAAAACATTAGGAGTCATTACAATAATTTGTATAATATGAAAAATAGCTGAAATGTTTTTTTATTTTATTTTTTTTTTAATATTCAGACTAAAACGTAATTAAATTTAATTAAAAATAAATTAATTTAAACATGTCGCATGTCGTTTATTTAATCATTTTAGCAGCATGTTTAATTTTCTATATATACTATTAAAACAATTATATATAATATTAAAATATAAGAAAATATAATTTATTATATAATCAGAATTTGTTTTTGAATGTGGTAGTGAAGTTCATTTTATGCAAGAATAATAAATCAAACTTTTTGTCATTATGTATGCAGTAGAGGTTTAAAATCATTTTAAATGCGGAATGACCATGAAAAGAGATTTAAAATTTCAAATAATGGTCATGCGAATCTGGCCTGTGAACTTTTCACTCAAATTAGCTTCTCTCTTAAGCAAGCGCACCACTATAGTCAAGCCCAGTGCATCTCTCCATTGTGCTTATGCTGTTGCCTCTTCCTTCAGGTCATCATGTCTACAATCACAGCTCAACCAGAGCTGGAGCTCTTTCCCCGCTACCTTCTGTTCCTGCGCCAGCAACCGGCCACACGCAACCCTCAGTCTAACATCTGGGTCAATATGGGTATGAGCAGCCTGCGAATGTTCCCTCCACATATGCCCCGAGGTAACGTAAGCCTGCAGCAAGAGAGAGGCTACCTCCACTGCCTTGACCACCACCTCCTCTAATCTTCTAAAACACCCAGCTTGGTCTCACCAAAATGATCTGTCTGGATAACTAAAGAGCCAAATCCTGATGCCAACACCTAGAGTCATCATCTGAGTTCAAAAAACTGTAATGACAGCTAAATATAAATTAATGTTGAATATATCAAAATATTTAAGTTTGTGAAACATAAAAACGCATATAAGTGATTGTGAAACATAAAATGTAATGAAAACACAGCGCTGGCCTAATAGTGGGCTTCCTTATTGTTGAGCCCTGAAAGTGGGTAGGCGATAGTATAATTTAGAATGTGGTCATGGTTTTGCCAGGCTCAGAAGACTGTTTGGTGTGGGTAAAGACACTCTCTGATTTCCTATAATTGTTTGCTTTGCAATCATACCAACCTTTTTTTTTTTTTTGGTCTCCAATGAAATCAATAATTGCTGTAGGAATCTTAAATGTATTTTTATTTGATTTTGTTTTTGTTTTTTTACAAGAATAATTTTAAAAATGTGACATGATTTTTATTTAAATCACCCAAACTAATGAATTGATTAATGTTCCCTTTGAAAATGACCTTTGCCCTTTCTTGCTGCTTCCTTACAACTAATCCTCAGTCTGTCAATCAGGTATTGGGGCTGTGTGTGTGTGTGTGTGTGTTATTGATCTGTGTGCTCCTTGTGACTGGTTGATTTAATAGCATGCTTATTAGAATCTATGAATTGGCTGAAACTTTACATTTTTCATTATTGCATTAAAATGAAACCATAAAAGTGTTACTTGACTAATTTAGCACAGTAGGTAAAATTAAGTTTACATTTTCAATGACTTAAAGTTAGTTTTTGAATATATAACAACACAGTAGGGTGGAAAAGCTCTAAAGGGTTGTATTTGAAACAATATTAAATATTGTATTGCATGTGACAAAGAGAATGCTAAAGGCTGCTTCATTCCCAACTCAGGAAACGTTCCTTCTCCGAACGCCCCTCTGAAGCGAGTGCTGGCATACACAGGCTGTTTCAGCAGGATGGGCACCATTAAAGACATTCATGAGTACCTGTCCCAGAGGTTACGCATCAAAGAAGAGGACACGCGCCTCTGGCTCTACAATAGTGAGGTGGGGACCTCCTTAACAGATACTGAATAAAAGAACATCAAACTCTGATCAAAGACATTCATATGCAAATCTGTCCTCATTATAAAGTTACCGATGTCACCTCACAGCTGTGAGGAAACGCTTCAAAATGAAAATTCCTGTGTTCACATATTTCCAATTTAATCCAGAAAATTTGAGAGGAGCATCTCAAAAATAGCCACTGGTGGTATTGGGGGAGGAGAATTCTGATTATAGAGATCTTTAGGTCTTTAATAATTTATGATACATCCATTATATTGTATACTAATCTTGATTTGTATTGTCTTTTTATCAGAATTACCTCACTCTCCTAGACGATGAAGATCACACTTTAGAAAGTTTGAAAATTCAAGACGAAAAGCACTTAGTCATTGAGGGTATGTCTGTGACATTTATCTGTCTTAATAAAAGTTTTATCTCAATTCACATGTGCTGAGCTGTATGGATTAAATTGCGAAGCATTCATGGCTGTACAAACATTATTAAGATATCTTTCCCTCTCTCTAGTTCGAAACAAAGATATGAGCTGGCCAGAGGAAATGTCTTTCATTGCAAACAGCAGCAAAATCGACAGACACAAAGGTAATGTCAGAGGTCTTGGAAAGTGTTGGAAAAATTTATGCAAATTGGAAGCTGGCCAAGCTATCTACAAATGTCAGAATGTTTATCTGAGTTTGACCTTGCCTAGATGCCACTATAATACAATTCTTTAGACCAGTTACTTGTGTCAAAGCACATATCAAGTATATTATTAACACAGGAACGAATGCAACAAGAGTCCAAGAAGCAAATACATAAAGCCAATATAGAAGTCATATCAAGACAGACATCAGCTGTGACATTTAAAGACTCACAATGTTGCTATCGAACTCTATGAAATACTGAGTAATTGAACTTCATGGAGATAGTACTCAAGTGGTTGAGCCAGAGGAGTATAAATTTAATCAAACCTTCAGTCTCTAATAATTGTGTATAAATTTTGCTATTTTTCTTGCAGTTCCTACAGAGAAAGGTGCCACAGGTTTGAGTAACCTGGGTAACACATGCTTCATGAACTCCAGTATTCAGTGTGTAAGCAATACCAAGCCCCTCACTGAGTACTTTATCTCAGGACGACACCTTTATGAGCTTAACAGGTACGGAGATATGGTCAGTGCCTTTCTTTTTAACTCAAACCACTTGTAACTACTAAGTTAATGAGCAGTCACAATTACCATTGCTTTTTAAAATTTTGTGGGTGAAATCCATTCATTTAAACTGAAATCCACACAATCGGGAGTTTTGTGCAAGGCTAAGAAGATTTTGCTCACGTTCGAGTTGGTCACGCCACGTTGATCAGCAGAAAACGGCTTGTTTTGAAAGTGACTTTTGTGATATCTGCCATACTTCTTGACCAATGAGCTGTGTCTTGCCTTTACAGAACCAATCCAATAGGAATGCGTGGTCACATGGCCAAATGCTATGGTGATTTGGTACAGGAACTCTGGAGCGGCACCCAGAAGAACATTGCACCTCTGAAACTCAGGGTGAGTTGATAACATCTCTATTATCATGAGCATCAAACCCAAATGTTTCCATTAAAATTATTATGCTATTTTTTAAAAACATTTTTGTAGTGGACGATAGCAAAGTATGCACCAAGATTCAACGGCTTCCAGCAACAAGACTCCCAGGAGCTTTTGGCCTTCCTGTTGGATGGGCTTCACGAGGACTTGAATCGTGTCCATGAGAAGCCGTACGTGGAGCTCAAGGACAGCGATGGTCGGCCAGATCATGAAGTGGCCACAGAGGTCGGTGTCATACTGCTGTTTTTCAGCCCCATTTTTCTGTGGAAATAAATGGCGCAGACGCACGGTTTTGTTTACACACATACAGAATCACGTGTGACGCTCACGGTATTTGCAGCCTCTATATGAGTACATGAACACATAAACATAATCTCTAAAACTGCACTGAGAGTCTCTTCATGAGCATTTCACTGTTTCTTTTGAGTAAATCTATTGTCGATACAAACAGAAACTTAAAGGTCTTCACAGCAACCTGTCAAAATAAAAGTTCGGTTTAACTTGAAGAAACGGTGACAGAAATATTACATAATGTAATTATAGTACTACTACTGCTAATAAAGTTATTATTAAAATGAATATTTACCAGAAAAAAGTATTTACCAGAATATATTTAGCAGAAAAATGTAAATACACAAAGTATTTCTGGATTTTTTTATAATAAAAAAAAAAACAATTAATTATAGATTCTTTGATTATTAATATTTAATGAAACCATTAAAATGGAATTCAGAAAATTTATGGAAAACAGAATTTGGTAAAAAATTATAATAATAATGAAATTAAATTTTTGTTAAACTTTTAATAAATTGCTGTTTAATATTGTAAGTTTCATGATTTCAATGAATTAGACATGCTTTTTGATTTAATAAAATTTATTTTAACCATTGAAACAGAGTCTAGAAAAATTCAAACGGAAAAAACAGAATTTGGGAAAAAATAAAACTGATTTCATAGGGCCCTAATGAACCTAAATGGGCACACTGATGATACGCTAATAGGAAGCCGTTTCTTCACCCTAACTACATCTGTGTGTTCTCATCGCAGGCCTGGGAAAACCATTTGCGGAGAAATCGTTCTATCGTGGTCGACCTCTTCCATGGGCAGCTCAGGTCCCAGGTGAAGTGCAAGACCTGTGGCCATATCAGTGCCCGCTTCGACCCCTTTAACTTCCTGTCGCTGCCGCTTCCTATGGACAGCTCCATGCACTTAGAAATCACAGGTGAAGCCAAGCAGAGAGAAAACATAAACACTTTAAAATCCATCAGCAGATATGCCATTCTCACATAAAAGCTTTTTTGACTTGCAGTTATCAAACTTGACGGCTCCACTCCGGTGCGGTACGGGCTGCGTCTCAACATGGATGAGAAGTACATGGGCCTGAAGAAACAGCTGAGTGAGCTGTGCAGCCTGAAACCTGAGCAGATTCTACTGGCTGAGGTTCACACATCCAACATCAAGGTCAGCTCAACTCAACTCACCACAACAACACTTTTGTTGATGCAATCCATGTGGAATGACTTTTAAAACAAATGCTTGTCTTTGGTCTAGAACTTTCCTCAAGACAACCAGAAGGTGCGACACTCTGTGAACGGCTTTCTCTGTGCATTTGAGATCCCTGTGCCTGGCTCACCCACCTCAGTCACGTCTCCAGTGATAACAGGTAACAAGGATTGATTACTTCTGTCCTTTTTCCTTAAAGGAATAGTTGACCCAAAAATGAAAATTTGCTGAAAATTTACTCACCCAAAGGGCACCCAGATTTAGATGAGTTTGTTTCTTTGAGGTTTGGAGAAATGTGACTTAGCATCACATCACTTACTCACCAATGGATCCTCTGCAGTAAATGGGTGCCATCAGAATTAGAGTCCAAACAGCTGATAAAAACATTACAATAATCCACAAGTAATCCACACGACTCCAGTCCATCAATTAATGTCTTCTGAATTCAAAAGCTGCATGTTTATAAGAAACACATCCATCATTTAGGTGTTTTAACTCTAAAATGTCACTTCTGGCCATTCTGTTACTGGAGAAAGCAATATTATGGATAGAGGAACGGTATTTTAGTTAGAATCAACAGTTTAAAGTTATGAAAAAATATTAATAATAGATTTGTTTATTACAAATGTGCAGCTTTTCACTTCACAAGATGTTAATTGATGGACTGGAGTTGTGTGGATTACTTGTGGATTATTGTAATGTTTTTTTCAACTGTTTGGATTCTCATTCTGACGGCACCCATTCGTTGCAGAGGATCCATTGGTGAGCAGGTGATGTAATACTAAATTTCTCCAAATCTGTTCTGATGAAGAAACTTACTCATCTACATCTTAGATCGCCTGAGGTTGCGTAAATATTAAGCAAATTTTCATTTTTGGGTCAACTACTTCTTTAGAAGAGAAGCTTTCGCTTTACCATAGACACTCTTATTTGTCATTGACCCATAAATGTCTCTTTTAGAAAAAACACCTGTGGCTAATGGGACAGCAGGGAATAATCACATTGGAAAGTCTGGCCTGATTCCTAATGGCATGCCAAGCACAGTGGTCCCCTGCACCCCAGAGAAGCCCCTCGCCAATGGGATTCCTAATGGCCATGCCGTGCCGGTGCAAGACAGCCCCTTCATTGGCTACATCATTGCCATGCATAGAAAGATGGTGAGGATTTACTGATATATTCACTGTTGGACTTCACATGATGGTCGTAAGCATTCTAAGTGCGAGGTCTGTCCCCTCAGATGCGGACAGAGCTGTACTTCCTGTCCTCTCAGAAGAACAGGCCCAGTCTGTTCGGTATGCCGCTGATTGTGCCATGCACAGTTCACACAAGTAAGAAGGACCTGTATGATGCAGTGTGGATCCAGGTGTCCCGACTTGCCAGCCCTCTGCCCCCACAGGAAGCCAGCAACCATGCTCAAGACTGGTCAGTGGCATCTGCAGCTCACAAGGGTTACGTTGATGATTAGTTTGAATATTTGCCAAAACAGGTTTTAATTACGCTACCATTCAAAAAATTAAGGTCTGTAAAATTGTTAAAAGAAGTCTTTTATGCTCACCAAGGCTGAATTTATTTGATAAAATAAATAAATAAATAAAATGGTAATATTGTGTCATATTATTGCAATACTTGTATTGTTTTAATTGTTTTCCCATGAAAATAGCCTAAGATGCTGACATGGCATTAAATAAAAATATACTACTCATATTATTACAATGTAAAATAACTGTTTACTATTTTAAATATATTTTTGTAAATTTTCATTTATCCCAGTGATGTCAAAGCTGAATTTTTAGCACCCAATACTCTATCCCATCTTTAGTGTCACATGATCCTTAAGAATATGCAGATATGCAGAGATGTCTTACTATTATTGTTAAACAGTTGTGCTGCGTAATATTTTTGCGGAAAGCATGATACCTTTTTCAGGATTCTGTAATGAATGAAAAGTTCAATATAGAGAACAGCATTAAACTGAAAAAAATATATTTTGTAACATACTGTTACAAAATAGTCATTTTTTATCAATTTAAAGTATCTGGGCTGAATACAAGTATTAATTTCTTTAAAAAAAATCTTACTTTTGCAAGGTAGTGTATATTTGGATAACAATAAAGATGTACTAAGTGTTTGAGCAGTTCGTTTTTAAAGCAGTCATTTCTGGATCCCATTTCCCTTCACAATTATTTCCTGTCTCCTCTCTCTATTGTCTCTGTCAGTAGAAAGTAGTAAAAAGCCCTCTAAAACATCAGGTGACAAATGTACTGATAATTTATTCAAACATCTGGGATCACTGATGAAATTGCATTTTTTTTTTATTTAATACAAATCATTACAAATTATAATATTATCATAATAATTGAAAAATTCACAATTCCTTCGTTTTCTTGGCTTGTTTAAAAAAGTCAGCGGTGACCTAGGAAATAGTCCAGAATCTTAAAGGGGTCATATGATGTTGCTAAAAACATTATTTTGTGTATTTGGTGTAATGAAATGTGTTTATGCAGTTTAAGGTTAAAAAAACACATTATTTTCCACATACTGTACATTATTGTTTCTCCTCTATGCCCCGCCTTTCTGAAACGCGTTGATTTTTACAAAGCTCATCGGTCTGAAAAGCAAGGTGTGTTGTGATTGGCCAGCTATCCAGTGTGTTATGATTGGCCGAATACCTCAAGCGTGTGACTGAAATGTTACGCCCCTACCATACTGTGATGATGCCCTGTCCGGCCGGAGCGATGATTCAAAAACATGAAAACCCATTATAAACGAGGCATTCGTTGCATCCAGTGGGGACATAATTATGGATTATAATGACTTATACTGTCTTTTTATGAGTTGCGTTGCATCGCGCCACGTGAAAATAAAACCATGTCTGCATTTGTGATCGGAGAAATGACAAACAACAAGCACTACTCTACACTGCCCAAAAAACTCGCTTTAAATATAAAAAATATAAAATATAAAAACTCTTTAAATATAAAAAAACGTACTTACAGTCTGTGAGTCAGAACAGCCGGCATTATAGTCTACTCTACCAGGATCAGGAAAAAAAATTGAAATCGCAGCATATGACCCCTTTAAATATTTTTATTCATTTTATGTCACAACTTATGTCCACAATTTCTAAGTTTAAGTAAACTTGTTAACACTCTCTCTTCCAGTGATGACAGTATGGGCTACCAGTACCCCTTCACTCTGCGAGTGGTGCAGAAAGATGGTAATTCCTGTGCCTGGTGTCCCTGGTACAGGTAAGGATTTAAATTCAGCGGTTGTGCAGGCACATATCTCGCAACACAGTGTGGGTTGTCGTGACTGACAAGGGTTGTCGGTGACTTTGCCAGGTTCTGCAGAGGCTGCACAGTGGACTGTAATGAAGACCGGGCATCTTTGGGGAATGCCTACATTGCTGTAGACTGGGACCCCACCGCTCTGCACCTTCGTTACCAGACCTCTCAGGAAAGGGTGAGTGCTATAAGGATGTTTAAAGATTTTAAAGGCCATAAAACCAGTCTATTGAGATTTCAGTCAGTTCAAGGTTTGTCCCTGTGTGATGGGTGAAGTCTTTGTTACTGGATTCAGTCTGATGCCGCACCGCAGGACTTGATATGTCCCTTAAACCCAATGATTACTCTGCCAGTACTGTCATTCCCTGTGAAGAGAGTCACTTCTATCTCACATCACAGCTGAGAAATCCATTATGATTAATTATTCTCTGGATCTGCTACCTATTTTACCTCAAACAAAAGCTCCTGATAAGCCTTGAACTGCTAATTATGATCCGTCATTGCTACTTGCAAAAGACACTTTCTGAAGGCAAAAGCTCCTGCAAAGTCATAGTAAATTAGTTGCTTAAAATTTCAAGATGATAGAATGAAATCCATGGTTTTCGCACTAGTTTTTAAGGTACATTTGAGACTAGAACTGCCAATTTTATAACTAATACAAATGTTTAACTGTACATTTAAAAAAAATACCTTTAAATATAATCTCTTTTCATAGTCCAGACCTCTGAGTAGTTATTTCATTCTGTTAATGTGTGTCAGGTAATCTATTGCTAATGTTTATGTGGGCAGATAGTGGAAGAGCATCCCAGTGTAGAGCAGAGTCGGCGCGCTCAGGCAGAACCCATCAGTCTGGACAGCTGTTTGAAAGCCTTCACCAGTGAAGAAGAGCTGGGAGAGGATGAGCTCTATTACTGCTCCAAATGTAAAACCCACCGCCTGGCCACCAAGAAGCTGGACCTCTGGAGGCTGCCTCCCGTACTGGTCAGAAACACAAATTATTTCTTTTTCTGTAGGAATAAATGCATGTCTCTTGAAAAAAAAAAAAAACTTAAAAAAAAAAGGTTTTCAAATGTTTAAACTAGAATGTGCATGCAACTTGACCAGCAAGAAAAATCTATATCAGGGTTCCCGCGGGTCCTTAAAAAGTCTTAAATTTAAGGTCATAAAAAGTCTTAAATTGTACAAGAAAGTCTTAATTATGATTTCTAGAGGTCTTAAATTTGGGTACAGACCAGAATTGCGATACAGCTTAATGTGACGATTAAACTTCAAAAGTCTATGATTTTATTAAATAAACATGAGCGCTGCACGTTTCAAAGTCCGGTGCTGCTCTGCTTTGTGTTCTGCCGTTAGCAGGGAAACAGTTCCGAAAGCGCCTCCTGCTCGCAGAAAATGAATGTGCATGTTCAATAAGGCTGTTGTTGTGAGTAGGGTATTCCTGCAGTACCGGAGGCTGCAGTTTCAGTTTACCCTTTTTATTATTAATTATTTTATTTTATTTATTTTTTGTATGTATGTATTAGCAGCACATACTATTTTATAGTACTTGCTATTCAATTCTGTATATTATTATTTTTAAGGAATTATGTAGTTTAATTGTATACACTTAATTATTGTCCTAACCAACTCCTAACCCTAAACATACCCATTGGTAACCCTCTTGAAATATTTAACCTAAACATACCCATTGGTAACCCTCTTGAAATATTTAACCTAATGTACTTCAATGTATTCTATATATATTCTGGTTTTAAATTCAGTTTTCTTGGAAAGAAAGACTTGTGTCTGTGCAAGACTTCAGTTCATTACCCGCAGCTCTTTGCGTCTGATGTGTGACACACATAACACAGTGCAGTAAACGGTAAAACAATTGCGGTACAAATTAGTGTGTTTATTAGTACTTTAATAAATGTAAAATAATTTGAATACAAATACTAATTTACAACATCCAGCAGCACAATGAACTGTTTTGCACAGCTAAATAGGCTAAATGAAGATTGCTGACACCCCCTCGAACACTCAAGTTCATGTCAGCTCTTACAATAAAAATAAGATGGAAAGATAAAAAAAATTAATAGTTTCCATGGATCTAGTCTTTGCATATATTTGTTTGATGTTTGAATCAGGTCTCCTCTGTTGGAATAGAATTGGCTAGATGGCGCTGTCCCAAAAAAAAGGTCCTATGCCGTCCTAGAACTGCAGCCTCCGGTATTGCAGGAACATTGGGTTGTTTTTGTTCAGACCAATGCGAAAATCGACCCATGTTTTTACCCTGCAAACACGCAGAGCTGTAAATGTGAACTGGTGGATCGATAAGAAGAAAACAGTAAAATGTGTTTGTATGTCTTTTAAATGAATTTAAATAAGTTAATTTAAGTTTAAATTAATATAATAATTTTTTTCTTAAAAATGGTTTAAAGGCTGAGATGTGAAGTCTATCATTTTATAAAACTTTTTGTTTTTGTGAAAACTTGTATCTGAACTGTAAATCATGCTTTTTACAGTCATTTTACAGTTGAATAGTTTACCATAGACATGGTAAGCGCATATGGTATTAATTTTATTTGTGCAGGTCTTAAAAAAGGTCTTAAAAAGTCTTAAATTTGAGCTTAAAAATCCTGCAGTGAGACTTTGTTTCATAATAAAATTACCAACGCACAATGCTTATTGCGATTTACTGGATGGGAGGTGCGCTTCAAAGTTCCATCCATTGACTGAAAACAGGCTAGACTAGCCTAATCGATTCTTGGGATTTAAGAATCGATATTGTTTCGTAAAAATGAGAATCGATTAAAATCGAGATATTGATATTTTTTACCCAGCCCTATTAAACTTTATTGTTACCTACACTATGTGTATGATATCAATAAAACATGTCATCAAATTATTTTTGTAAGGATCGTTAATGCCGCTTCCCTATACATCAGTGTGCATTTTACAAACTATAAATTAGGGCTGCACGATATATAGTTTCAGCATCGATATCGCAATGTGCGCATCCGCAATAGTCACATCGCAGGATGTGCGATGTTTAGTAGGCCTATACTGATCGTTATATTTATACTGATTGTTTTCTTTGCTCACACACAGACAGCGCATCTACAACTGATGCGACAACTGTACAGAGCTATCCATTTTTAAATAAATTTAGTAGCAGAGATACTGCAAGCGATTTTTAGTAGGGATGCTCCGATCAGGATTTTTGCAGCCGATACGGAGTACCGATTTCTTGTCATGGTGATCGGCCGATACCGATGCTGATTCTGATGCTTCAAGCTTTATATAGACGGTTTTATCGGGAGCATGCGCCTGGCCCAAAGTTAATTTCCAGTCTGTGTTTGTTTATCAGTCTGGCTATGGCTCCGGCTACAAACGCAAGAGTTAAAGTTAAGGTGATGAGTAGACTGAAGTTGGGCTCAGGTGGTTGTGCTGTGGGATGTGTTTCCCATACATTTATTTATTTGTGGCGCTCGCCACAATATCAAAATTGACCTATTTTCCAAAAGGCTTCGTTGAATAAACATGAGCACGTAGGCCTACTGCACCTTTAAATATCAAAAGATAAAGCAGCGTTTGTGAGCTCAGCGCTGCTGTGTGTACAGTACAGCCGTTACCGGGGAAACGTCTGTTTCTCCTGCTTTAAAGCACCTCCTGCTGGCAGAGAATGAATTTGCATTTTCAGTAAATCCGTTTGATTTAAGCAGCAAACATATTTTGCTTTTCCTATATCCACGGGCGCTGCGGATAATCTGCGGGTCGGGTAATAAAAAATTCATTCTGATTATTTGCGGGTGGATAAAATATCATAAATGATGCAAAAAAAATACATTTAAAAAAAAAATTTTTTTTCATGAGGCAGACGATTTCGTGTGTGTTCGTTCGCCTGATCGGGAAGTTGCAGTGACAGAAACGGTGACATTCCAGATAAAGTTTGAAAGGAGTAAAGCCTGTGTTAATGCTATTGAGTAGGCTAATATGGCCAAAGAAGATATTTTGTTTTATAAATAAATTTTCATTTAAAAGCAGCCCACGATCAGCATGTTATGTTACCGTTATACCTTACGGCTCCGACGAGGTTTTGTTCCGTCCTCCACGCTGTGACAACTCACTAAAGACCATTTTTAGCCAAGCAGCACGGAGAGCCGCTTCAGAAACGTGCCGCGGCTGACTCATAAACAAGCATTAGAGCGGCCGCGATCAGCTCCGGTTCCCGTGGAGCCGTAACACGCCGCAGATGTGTGCAGTGAGGCGCAGATCAACTCTAACGTCACTGAATCTGCTGTTAAAAATGAACCATCCATTCATCATATCATCATGCAAAACATACACGACAAATAACTAATTTTTCATTGTTTCTCGAAACGTCATAGCATTTCCACACCAGCGATGACATGACTGTGGCGCCAAATCATTTATGT